GCTTTTTGGTTTGTCCTGCAGACCAACTTTTTTTTAACCCACAGTAACCCATATTTCAGACAGCCCAGCCAATTCAAAAACAAGTCTTACACAGTCCTGTCACATTTTAATCTAATAATTTAGCTTCATTAATTCTATTTTTTTTTTTTTTCCGGTTTTTTAGTTTAGTCTCAGTGAGACGGGTTCACTGAGAGGACTTCATCACTTGCAGTCCACTCACTCTTTCAGTGGACATTGATGCCATCATGGACAATGTCAGCATCATCCTGTACACACTGACTGTCGTACTCGGCATCACAGGGAACTCTGTGGTGATCTGGGTGGCTGGATTCAAACTTAAGGTAGATATGGAGTGTGTCATATATTTGAAATAACTTAATATTTACAGTTTAATATTTTACAACTCCCTATAAGACTGCAGGTTTTCACTGCAGGTAACATGTATGTGTAACATTGCATGTGACAAATAAAGGCGTGATTGATTGATTGATTGATTGATTGATTGATAAGTGTCAGTAATATTTGGGTAATAACATATTGGGATAGAAGACAGCACAGATATGTGACTTTGTCAGTGTCACAGCACCAACACAGGAAACCCAAAGCAACTTAAAAGAAAAGAAAAAAACAACAATTTGTCCCCTGTTTGTAACTTTTGCTGGGAGCTGTAACCGGGAAAATTCACTTGAGTATAGGGGCTCTTTTCTTTGTTACATAAGATTCACACTAGCTGTTTTTGCTCATGCTAAAACTTTGTAAGATGGTTTAAAATGTGGGATTATTCATGAAAAGTGATACAAATTAAAAATGCAATTCTAGTCAACATTTTATCTCACGCAATCCTTTTTTAATTTAACCTTCAAAATAGGCAAAACTCGCGTATAAGGAAATCAACTTAAGTCCTAAAAAGCTTATGTCCAAGTGTGTCATAGCTAAAGAAATAAGAGTTTGGCAAAGGGTTAACAAGAGAAGTAATGATCAGTGAGCAGAAGCTTGGCTCTGTGAAGAGAAAGAGCAATAATAATGTCACGTCTTGTCTTGTCTTGAGAGTGTCGATGGAGAAGTACAGAGACAGTCAGAAGTAGTTGTTCTGTGTCTTTGTGGATTTAGACAAAGCATATGATAGGTTCCATGAGAGGAACTGTGATACTGTATGAGGAAGTCAGGAATGGTAGAGAAGTATGTGAGGGTGGTGCAGGACATGACGACATGAGGACAGTGAGATGGTGGTAGGATGTGTGATAAAAGTTACAGATGGGTTGAAGGCATCAGGAATCTGGGCCCTTTTTGTTTGAAGTAGTGCTGGACAGGCTGAAAGATGAGGCCAGGCAAGAGTCTCTGTGGACTGTGATGTTTGCAGATAACATTGTGATCATAGTGAGAGCAAGTGAGCCTGGAGAGGTGGAGGTATGCTCTGGACAGATGTGGAATGAAAGTCAGTAAAATCAAGACCAAATACATGTGTGTGAAACTGATGGACATGCAGGGAGTCGAGATATTTGAACTCATCTGCCTTCACTACCTGTGTTCAACTATCCAAACTGACAAGAAAAAACAGAGAAGAAGAAAGTAGCAAGAGTGAAAGAGGAGATTTACAAGAGAAGGTTTAGTGAGACATGCTATGATTAATGGTTTGAATACAGTGACATTAACGAAAAGACAGGAGGCTGAGTGAAGAGGTGAATATGCCAGGATTTTTATTGGGAGTGATCAGAATGAACAAGATTAAAAATTAGTACATCAGAGAAACAGCTGGGGCTGAGCAGTTTGGAGGCAAAGGGGGAAAAGATGAGGAAACCCACCAAAGAGGCGAATCCTAAAGGAATCCGTGAATATGTAAGAAGAAGAAATTATGAGGAATTACTCACAACACATTATGCCTGACCGGGGATTTGTTGCTTGTAAAAGTGGATAGTGTGGCTAAATTTATATATAAATATATGTTTAACTAACAGTTTTGAATGTGGTCAGTCCACTGAGTAGTCAGTTGTTATTGTTGCAAACATATCGATCCCCTCTACCTGACCCAATAGGACATGGTTAACACTTTTCTCAAGGTACTTACTTTACCCTGCAGGACAGCACTAGTAATGGGTGGTTACCAGGTTTAAGGCCAAACTGTTTCCAGGTAAAAACAGCAGATGAGGGCGCGTACTAGTGATGCACAAATGATAATGGCAATTCGGTGCCATCAAAATCAGGTTACGTGCTTCATTTAAATAATGGCTTTGATTTTCTTTATGTTCCTGTTATCATTGTTGTTTTATTTTCTTCTTCATCCACAGCCAAAGGTCACCAACGTGTGGTTGGTGAATCTGGCGATAGCAGACCTGATCTTCTGCTTTACACGAGTTTTCTCTCTCACTAAGAAGCTCTTCTTTGAGCACTGGCCTTTTGGTCTCTTCGTCTGCAAGTTCAATGGCTTCTTCAAATATGCCAACATGTTCTGCTCTGTCTTCCTGCTGGCTGTGATCAGTCTGGATCGAGTGCTCTGCATCTGGCAGCCCATCTTCACAAAGCGTCGACGCACCATGTGGGTAGCGAGGATGGTGGCGGTCTGCGTCTGGATCGCAGCGGTCCTCTTCAGCGTTCCCTACTTCATCCATCGCCAAGTCTACCTGGGCAAGAAGAACCTGAGTAAGTGCTCTGTGGATCCGAAGGAGAAGGCAGAGGGGTACAACAGCACCAAAGCTGCTCTCTACTCCATCCGCTTCCTGTGTGGCTTCATATTTCCCTTCATGGTGATTCTGGTCTGTTATATCTTGGCCGCTGTAGGAATCAGACGCACCCGCCTGTCAGGGAAATCCCGCCCCCTGCGTATACTCGCAAGTTTGGTCATTGCCTTCTTCCTGTGTTGGGCACCTTACCATTGCCTCTTACTGGTGAAGATGGTGGACAATAAAAATGTAGTGGTGAAAATCTGGTACCCTGTAGCAAAGGGTGTTGCCTACTTTAACAGCTGTGTGAACCCATTGTTGTACTTCTGCATGGGGCTAGATGTGAGGGGGCGATTCCGGCAGAGTCTGATGGGTGTTTACAAAAGAGCTCTGGCAGACGATGTTGATGGACAGACAACTCACTCCAACGATCGCTCTTTGGATGAAACCTCGGTGTCAAAGCACAGCGCTCTCATAGCGGAGGGATCAGGTCTGACAGCAATGGGTGTGGCTAAAGTTTAAGTTTTCCCTCTATTGATCCTGAAGCTTGCAGGACATGTTTCAAACCTATCACAATATCATCATTATATGATACATACACTGGTAATGAAATAAATAGAAAGTCTTCACCTATGATTGGATTGATCCACAGTGGCTCAAAAAATAAAATAAAAAAGGAGCTGTGAGAAGTGTTCGTGTCCACCTTATTAGCTGGGTTGATGTATCACAAGAGAGGATAAGGACAAAATGAGTATATTAGATAAATTATCAAACTGACACCCCTCCATGATATCAAAGTACTACACGATTGTGACATTATTATTATCCACACCAACCTAGGGACTAAAGAACCAGATTTAAACAGGTAAGTTTGTGTGGATAAAATAATTCAAGAAAACAAAGAAAAAATATGTTTAGATTAGACAAGAGGGCAGCATACTAATAATCAGCTAATGCTAACAAGCTTGAATAGCTAGGGTCACACACTGACACAGAAGCCTGTCAGACAATGCTCAATGATATACAGACGTCTTGGACAGCCTGCTTGTACAGTTACTGCACAGTTTTATTTTTCATGTTTGTTTTGTTTGTTCAACAAAGAGAAAATAGTCTACTGTTGTTTACTGATATGGAATTTTTATGTTAATAACTGCAACTTTTTTGTAACTAAAGCCATAATTAGCATCCAACCACCAAACAAAAGGTTGTTTATTTATTTTATCCATTGATTAATATCAGTAAAGTGTGAAAGTAAGATGTGAAGGATAGCTATCTAAATTATGCCAAGTAGTAGAATGCAGTCTAATGCAGTCCACTCCTCTTTTGGTCTTTAGGTTTTTCTACAAGCATATAAGCATAATAGTTCATCTGTACCTATACGGTTTTGAGCAGGACTTATTTGACTCCAGATGAAAAGTGTACTTAAAAAAATAAAGATGGTCACTTTGTACTTGATTTCTGCATAGTGGGCAAAAAATATTAAAACAACTAATGTTGTAATTCAAGTACTGGGACACTCTTTCTTTCACATTTTCCTTCTCAAACCAGATTTTATTTCCTGGTGGTGCATTTGAAAAATTCCAAAATGTGAGCAAGTCATTTTTGAAAATATTTATTTTTAAGAAAAAGCTATTGTGTTGTAGATATATTGCAAAGCTGTTTTACATTTTATGTTGTTCAAAGTGGGCAGCACGTGATATAGTGGTTAGCACTGTGGCCTCACTCACAGGCAAGTGTGGAGTTTGCTTGTTTTTCCTGTGTTTGTGTGGGTTCTCTCTGGGTACTCTGGGTTCCTCCCACAGTCCACAGACATGCAGATAGTGGTGTTAGGTTAACTGGTGACTCTATATTGCCCATAGATGTGAGTGTGTCAGTAGAGCCCTGGATGTCACATTTCTGAGTTGTGTTTTTGAACATGTAATTGAAGTCACAGAAGAAAAGTGGAACTGTGATGAAGCAGAGGGAAGTGAGACTACTAAAAGAAAAGCCAGTAATAGCTTTAGTCAGCTTTAGTCACACTCTGTCTTGTGTATAGAGGTCATTCTGAAAGTTAGATGAATGGAAACTGTGCAGTGTACCAAGCTGCATCGTGTGGTTTTTGTTTTTGTTTTTCGTCTTTTTTTTGTTACCATGAGAAATGCATCAAAAGTATTTCGTCCATCCTGTGTGTATCTTACTGCTACTTAAGAGGGAGAGTGGGCTGAGACTTTTATGGCAGTCAAATATTATGAACATGGAATCTAGTTAATATCAATCCATAGCAACCAGCTTATAAAACACAGCACCAGAGTATTTACTCAGCTGCTTACACATCACTAACTCTGTTTACAATAAAACCGTTTATCTGAAACCTGCTGTTCCTTTTGTTTAATAACATTTCTGCCATAAAAATATGATTAAAGCTAAACGGAGTAGCTGCAATGATGTGCACGTGGGTTTTTGTAAATAACTGAAATATAACATATGACTTTGTAAACAGCACTGTCTATGGGATTATATTGATAAAGTTTAATTTTGAAGTGTCATTGTGCGAAGGTCTGCAATATGTCTGTGCTTTAAGAAACACAGTGTTCATTAAAAACTGAAAAAATAAAATTGCTTTTGTGTTTTATGTTTACAATAAAAAGCTCAACTACTAATTGAAATCCTTCTGACATTCAGTGTAAATCACACA